CCGCACCGCCAGCCGCGCCGCCAGCCGCGCCGCCAGCCGCACGCGCGCCGTCAGCCGCAGCGTGGTAAGCCGCAGCGCCACCCGCATCAACCGCCGCCGCCGCGCAACCACTCTGCCACAGCATGATGTCAGCCACGCTCCCACAGTCAGGGCAGCGCTGGTCGTCCTGATCGCATACGCAAACACCAACCATTGACAAAAAATGCTCACGCCAGGCTTCGAAGAAGGACAACCTGTAAAAAGCTTGTGTGTGTGCTGAGGCGCCGCAAACAAGTCAAAGAACTCTGGCGGCCTTGGGGGGCCAGCTCTAGGCTGGGCCGCAGTCGGCGCCGCCTCCAGCTCGGTCTTGATGTGCGACTCCTTGCGCGTCTTTGCCTTGGCCTTCACCTTGGCTTTCGCCTTGGCCTTCACAGGCGTCGGCCTCTCCACCTTCGCCTTCGCCTTCGCCTTGGGCGGGGTCACGACGTCTGTTGCAGGGGACGCGCTCTTCGAAGCCGTGCGCTTGTTCTGCTCCACGTCGGCAAGGTTGCGGTACTTGATGGAACGCCGCAGCTTGTTCAGCGGCGGATCAGCCTTCTTCGCATTTTTCGGGCTCTCCATCGCCTCGATCTTCTCGATCTCCTGCGCGAGCTCCGGCATCTCCGTGTCCTCCTCCTTGTCGCACCGCGAGTCAGAGTCGGAGTCGGAGTCGGTTGAGGTTGAGGAGCTCGCAGACTCCGCCTTGCCCTTACCCCCCTCGTCAGCCGTGCGCTCCTCGTCTTTCTCGTTGTCCTCAGGCTTCTGCCGGCGTTTCCTGGGGGCCTGCTTGGTCCACATCTCCTCGAGATTGAGCTGAGGCAAAGTTCTTGAATCTGTGAAACCCTTAAAGCAAGGTTTGAGGTACTTGAACGGTTGGAAAAGCAGCTAAGTGGTCTGATGTGTACCTTATGTACGCCGTTCTGTGTGGCAAAGGACGCAAACAAATCGCCGGTTTTTTAGGTTTGACCAAGACCTGTCGATACCCCAAACAAAAACAAAACGAATTAGGATGAACAACGCGCGTTGCTCGTTCTTTGTAAGCAAAGCCCAGAACAACTGACAAGCCACTCTGCCAACACTTGCACCCCTTTGTCGGTTCAGGAAGCGCGCGGCACTGTAAACGGGCCCAACTGGTGGATGTGAAACAATCGGTCACTGTTTTTCATGTGAATGAAACGGTCAGCGTTTACCCTACTCCTGCGGTAGCCACTTGCGGCAATTGAGCGCCTCCTGGGAGATGTGGCGGAACATCGCCTGCAGCTTCAAAGAGCGAGACGCGGCCCAGTTCTGCGCTTCCTCACCGCCGCTCGCGGGAAACCACTGGTTCTCCTACACACGTGGTTGAAAAATGCAAGCTCTCTGTGTTCACAAAATGTGTTTTGGCTTCGGGTTTGCAAATTAACAGCTCTCCTCGTTGATGCCCATGAGCGCAGTGTGAATTGTTTTTGGGCAGAACTTCCAAGTTCGGTTCACCGACTGAATGCGCCGAAGGTGAGCTAGATATGTCTGCAGCTTTGCAGTGTCCTTGTTCTTGATGCGCCTGGACAGGGCAAGTGGCAAGACTGAAAACAAAAGTCCTGCCCTAAACGGAACTGACCAATCAGAACAAGGGCGCCCGATGTAGTTTGGTTTTGGGTCGGTTTCGGGAACCGAGGACTTTTTTTTGCGTTCTTTGTTCAAAGCAAATGTCACATCTACATATCGATCATCACACAAGACAGTCCTGTCGTGCGTGTAGCTGATGAAGTTGACATTTGTTGCCCACGGCCGGAGCGCCTCTTTCAAGCCGTCAGCATCTGTGCAGCTTGGCACGCGTCCTGGTTTGTTGTTCGCCTCCGTCATGGCAATCCCTGTCTAACACAGACCTAAGCAGTCAAGCTACTTCCAACTGCACCTTTGCAATCAAGTTACTTCCACTTCTTATCTGAAGCCACACGCATGACTGCCTTCTGAGCCTCTCTGCGGACCGAGGCTTGAACCGCCAGACACGCGCGGGCGAGTGGTCAAAACTGTGCAGGGATCAGGGCCAGCTTTCCAAAAATATTCATTGCCAGCAAATGTCAGGCCTCCTCGTTTTCCGGAACCTACAATATCAAGTGGCATTTGCAGAAAATAGGTTGAAACTTTTGATAATGACCCCTGATCGAGTGTTGCACACACTGATGAGAATGACCCCTGATCGAGTGTTGCACACACTGCCCGAAGTGGAGCTGAACCCTTTGTCCAACAACTCCCAACCCCAAAAATAATGCATTGCCTGGCCAGAACATTTGTGAGCTGGTTTCCAAAAGCTCTGATGACTTGGCAGGGGCGCAAATGCTGAGACGCACAAATGCAGTTGAAAGACTGACACCCAATGAGCTTTTGGGCATCGCATCCATACAAACAGAACTTGTTGGGGCGACCGCTTGTGGTAAAACATGTCTGGATCTTTTCTGGGCCCAAAAAGAACTGTTCCTCAGATTCCCGGAGACCCTGTGCCTCGCAAAAACGGACATGCGACACCTCATTTTTGGTCAATAATCAGGCAGATCCTTGTTAAACATATCACGCTGGCCGGACCCCGAGCTACTTGCAGAGTTCCCGTTTTGGGGCCCTACTTAGTGCAAAAAAAGCATGTGCTCAACGTGCGGTCCGATCTGTAAAAAACAAACAAACATATTGAGTACAAGATGTGTGTGTGTGTGTACGTATGTGTGAGCGCCGCCCTTTTCACGTGACCTTGGAGGGAAACCAGAAGGAGAAACACGATTTTGATGTCCAATATTTAAACACACACCCATAAACACAGTATTAAGCCCTGGGTTGCCCTTTAAGCTTTTCCACTCAACTTTGGCTCAAACAGCCTCTATGGCTGTCACATCTAAATTTAGATCGTTCACATCCAAGTAGCTCCAATTTTTGGATGCGAAGTTGTCACATCCAAAAAATAGATGTGATCAGGGGTCTGGGAGTGCGGCCTGTCATGGGGTGCGTATGCCAGCCTCCTCCAAGGTGACCAGGATGTCTGGCTGTACGCCAGAAGCACTCTGACCGCTTGGGCAAGGGCCCCGAAAGTCTCCCCATACTTAGCATCCATGCCGTGGCCACGCTGGCGGACACCCAATAGCCAATCACAATGTCACGGGCAATGACATAAGAACACAGTGTTCTCAACCAACTTGATGCGCCAGATGGCTTGAGGCAAGAATTCGGGCAAAGGCTTGATTGACTGAAACGGGGGGGCTCAACATGTGCAAGCCGTTCGACCGGCCCTGGCACCACGTCAGGACTCTCTCTCAGTCAACTCATACGTGATTCAAGGCGAAAACATGCAATCACAAGCAGGCATTGCACGCGCAAGTCACAACCGTCAAGGCACAAACGTGTAATCATGGGAGGCATCGCAACTGCAAGGCACAACCGAATCAAGGAGATTGCCGCATCGTGCAGCGGGCTTTCTTTTTCACTGTTAAGGCTCTGGTTGGGCGAGGGCACAGGCTACATTCATGCCCCTGCTTTCAAGTGAAAGCCTGCATATTGTTATTCTGGCGCTGGGGATCGCGGGGCAGGAAACTCCACCCCCCCTCACCACCTCTGCGGCGGTGAGCCAACCCAGTCAGGTGCCGCGGGCTCGACTCACAGGCCCCGCACCCTCTCCCCCCACGCCAGGGAGCAGCGCCAAGAAAAGTGCAGACTTTGTCGCTAGACTCTGCCCCGTCTTCAAACGCAAGCACCGAGTTCAATTGTGCTTGAAACGACATGATCACCGGCGCTGGGGATCGCGGGGCAGGAAACCCCCACCCCCCCTCACCACCTCTGCGGCGGTGAGCCAACCCAGGATGCCGCGGGCCCGCCCTCTAGCACAGGCGGCAGGGGAAACCTCACCACTCTTTCCGTCAAGGCCAAAGCGGACTCAAGCTGGAAATGCTGAGAAGGGCAACTCAGGGAAAGCTTGTCAGAAACTGATCTTCGTGCTCGAGGCGCCCAGACCCATTTCCGCACTTGAGCCCTAGTGTCGAAAACCAAAGTTAACATCGCTTGGTTTTGTGACAGCGCCTGAAGTCATCACAAAATATGACACCTCACGCTTTTTTCAGCGAAAGGAATGGTCGGTTTTGTTGGGCTTGGCTTGTGCGGAAACAGGTCTTCGTGCTCGAGGCGCCCAGACCCATTTCTCAAGCTCTGAAGTTCTAGGCAGAACCAACATGCAAGCAATGTGTGCGAAGTGACATGCTTCAAGGAGTCCAGCGATTCAGATGTTATGCTTGTTTGCGTCACACAAATTCAGCGCAACGGGCAGTGACCGGTCAACAAGCGCACAACCCGAAAGCAAGAACAAACTGAAAAGTTGTCAATTCCAGAAACAACCGGCGCTCGACGTCGCCAAGCTCAATGGCAAAGCCGGTGGTGATCTTCCCAAACTGCAACAACACCTCAGCGAAGGGAGGACAGGATCATAATGCAATCGGTCAGCGCCGCCCACCAAGGAAGCCACCGTACATGGGTGCCAGGAATCTCATGGCTGCAAGGTCGCACACCTTTCAAAAACAGGCTCCTTGAGCGGCACACACCTTCGGGAGTGCGCTCGTTAGTGTCACTGCGTACAAGCAAGCGTGCACTTCATTACAAAACCAAACCAAGTCACTGTAGCCAGTGAGCTATCGCAGGTTGTGGAACACTGGAACACGGAATTTTGGAACTCCAATCAAAAGCATGCCATGGGCACAAACATTTTAACCCCTCATCCACACATAGACACACACACACAGACACACGCAGACACACACACACAGACACAGACACAGACTCAAACACAGACACAAACACAAACGCAAACACGCCCGACGCAGGCAGGCACGCAGGCACGCACGCATGCACGCGCACAAAACCATGTAATATAATTTATTTGTTTGGCATGGCAGCATACCTGTCCTGGATCAGCAGTTTTTGATGTCGCCAACACATCAGCCAGCAGCTACAACTCCAGCAGCGGACCTCGCCTCGTAAGCGATGAAGAAGGGTAGAGAGGCAAGCCATTCAAAGGAGGCGCGGGGCAAGCGCTCATACCTGAGTTGGACAGTGGGAGCACAGAATCAGCAATCCTCGAAGTGCATGCATTCTTTGATTTAGAGGTGATTCAACCATTTGCATCCATTTACAACTTTGTGAGATCGGACTGTTGCATTCCCTGTCGATGCTGTCAAGTGGCTGGCCATAGCCATGCTCCTGGTGAGGCAACTTGGCGCAGTCCAAAATAAAAGTGCTTGCAACTGCTGTTGTAACCACTGGGTAGAACATCTAGAACTGCCACATTGGCCATACACATGCATACCGGCTTACCTGTGTCACCAAAACAAGTATATCACAATTTGACATTGACTCACCCGTGATCAGTCTTGCACGATCAAGACACATTGTGAGCATTATTAGCGTTCGGGCGGTTGAGTTCCCCTCACGTTCCCTGCATCGCTGCCTTCATGTGCTTGGCGTCAAAGTCCATAAACACCAAGCCTTGGTAGACCTGCGAGGCGAAGGTCTGTGGCAAGCACAGGATTGCAGCGAAAGCCTCAGGGGCCACATGTGTAGGCCTTGGCTGAAGTCACCAAGTGATTGTCTGCTTTTCAACACGCCGGCTAAAGCATCAAGTACTTGCAAAATCCAGTCAACTCTCAGCTTTGCTGATGCTGGCCTTCACCTTGCACCTGGGTCTGTCTCTAACAGATTGGGAATCAGCACCAAGAGTTTCTCAAATGCAAAAAAAGCAATCCTTTCTGAAAGGGCTCATCAAACGTCTCCGAGTCTTGTGCAGGAGTGCACTGGATCTCATAGTGCAGCTAAAAAGGAACACATGCCGTAAGTCTGAAAGCATGTCCATCCTTTACAATGTCCATCTCTTACCATGCCCGCCACCCTCACAATTCAACAATCAATCAAGACATTTGAACGGGCCCTGCCATAAGCAATAAGCGGTGCTTCTTCTCCCACAACTTCCAAGCGAGAGCCAGGCTGTGACTAAAACTCCTCGGATTCTCTTCGCAGTTCTGGAAACTGGCACTGCCCGCCAGCCTGCACCACGCGGTCTTGCAGGCCAGCCTGGGCACAGCGTCCAGGAAGAGTTGCTCGGAAAATGAGCTCCAAGAGCCATCACCAATCAGTATGACAACCAAGCAAACAACCAAAACACAATGGCCAAATACGAAACATCATCGAATCCCAAGAGAGGGCGCCTCTGTTTATGGTTGGAAATGTCCCTTCAATGAAGCCTACAGTCATTCAGGTTCGCTTTTCGCTGCCTTTCGTCATATCCTTGAATCCCACAAATGTAGTTAAGACAATCAAAAGAAGGCTTGATGACCACCTCAACAAACAAGAAGAAAGGGAAGGCAATGAGCGAGGGAATGAATACCAGGTTTGTAAATCCCTTTATGTCGTGTGTATTAGTGAAGACCCTTGAGGAAGAACACTATCATATTAACTCTACACATATTTCATCTTTATAAACTGCTTTTCTGTCACAACCCTTTATCCTAGACCATGCGGTTCATCCGGAAGGACACTACGCCTCGGTGCTGTTCCCCGCATATTTCTAGCGCCCCAAGCACAGCCTCTCCATTGGACATTCCGTAAAGGATTGTCTAGCACATGCTTAAATTAGAAACATCCTCACTCCTTTTCCAATCGAGACAATCTGTCTACCTAAAAATGGCCCTTTTCCGTGCACGGGCTCTACCGGACTTGGATGAGCACGCAAAGGACGCAAGCACCGCGAGTTGGAAAGCCTGCGGAATCTGGACCAAGTCTCATCAGGGCCGCAAACTTGATATGGCTTGCAGCTGACATCGGACATTGAATAACAATTGGTCAGTGCGACAATAGCAAGTGGTATGCTGAATTTCCTACATTGGCGCCCGTAGTTTTTGTTTGTACTTGCGTCAAGGTGGGGCTTGGCCACGTTCTACCGTCAACAATGATAACTTAGGTCCAAACCAAGTCGATTCCATTGGCTCACCCTCACCTGTCTGGAGAATTAGGAATTCCCCCCCTCATCACGTGGCGAACATCCATGGCGTGGCTCGATCCACTGGCAGCCGTTGCCACGGCAAATAAGATGATGGGTCGCAACTCGCACAATGCCCTGCCTGGATGCCCAGCTCAGACTCCACCGAGAGGATGAAGCTAGGCTGCAGCTCCAAGGGGATGTGCCTCAGGCCGGCCCGGACACCAAAAACCCGAAACCTCAAAGCCTTCCGCCCCCAACCTGTGTTGCCAACTCGGCACCCTAAAGACCATAGGTCCCGAAACCAACGGGACCATGGTCCTATCTCCCTTCAACGGGTGGCTGCGATTCCCTCACCATATTTGTAGACGTTGGGCTAAACTTTGTGAAGGGATGACCACCCGTAGTGTTCCACATGAATTCGGGATCCTTGAAGACCATAGGAAATCTACCAATCATTGGCAGAACATGGGTTTGGCTTCAAATGGGGAATCCTCACAATGGTGGTTCCGCTTTTGTTTCCATTGTATCAAGCAGAACTCAATCACACTATGTAGCTTGTCCTGTGACATTGTGCCTTGACCCGTGAGTTTCTCTCTTTGAGTAAAGCAAGCTTGTGCGGTAAGTTTTGCCAATTTGTTTACATACAAATCACCATGGAACCATTCCGAGAAAATCTCCTTTGGGGCCCCCGCTGTTTTGGTTTCCCCATTGAAATAATTGAAGGGGCAGAAAGTGAGGTTAGCTTGGCGCAGTTGGCGCACCTTAAACTTCCAACAAGGGCAAAATCCTCAAAAAATGGCCGAGGCACTCTGAGGACAGGTTGAAGAAGCTTAAAAGAGCTTGGAACGCTGAGTTCCTGAGCTGCAAGCTCCGCGCTGGGCAAAAGCTCTCTGTGCACACGTTTAATGCTTTGAACGCTGCAAGACCGTGTCATTTGCATAGGCCGGCCCAGGGTTGACTGTCAGAATTGCTGAGCAAATGGAAATGTCGTCCGCGTAACATAACGCTGAGATGCTGACGGTTCGAGTATCGATTAGAGGGATCGAGATTAGAAGGAGCTTCTGTGGTACTGGAGCTACTCGGCACCGGGTATTTGCCCACCCGCATGTCCGAGTGGCTCCCACCCTGCGCACCCGCTCACACTCACGTGCGTCACGTCAGAGCTGCACGCGCGCTGGCGCATGATAGGCACACCCGCTCACGCGCGTCACATCAGAGCTGCACGCACGCTGGCGCATGATAAGCGCACGCTTCACGTCAGAGCTACACGCATGCTGGCACATGGAAACCACGCCCGCTCACAAACCCACATACACACCACGTCAGAGCTGCGCGCACGCTGGCACATGATAAGCACACCCGCTCACGCGATAAGCGAACCTGCTCACTGCCATGTGTGCTGACTGTGTCCAAAACTGCACACGTTGACCTGACATTCGGCTGGCCTGAGTTAGTTGCCGGGATGTCACAACCCCAGAAACATGCATACTTGTCAAACTGCCTGAGAATAGACGCTCGAGCTCCGAGGACACACAAAAAACAAGCGCAAGTGGCTATGTACCTGGCGTGAACTAATTGAGCTATGCTTTCATTGAGGATATACGCATTGCAAATGCGAAAAAACAAGAACAACTAGGCAATTGCGAGAATTGAGTTGTATTAGGGGGTCAAGCATGGCCCCGTGCGAGTATTCGGCTCTAAGGGAATCTTCGGCAGTTGTGCAAACAAACTCGGTTGCTGATGGAAGCGGGCTTGGACCGGGTGCGGACCATGCTCTCTGCGACTTTCATGGCGTCTGTGCTTCTGTCCTCAACAATTCAGCGTCTGGTTTTTGCTTCTTTCGCTTGGATTGCGGACTTCGGCAGGATCAAAGGGTCTTGTTTGCATTTGTCAGTTTTCGAACATCAAAAGGTGAACACTCTGCAGACTTTCGTGGGGTCGACCCTTAACAACTCGGTGCTTCTTGTGGCTTTCACTTTGCTCGCGCAACCCCCTCTGGGCTTTCAACCATCAACAACGTGTGCTTGCTCTGCTTTCTGTTCGGCAACCTAAGCAAATTGGAAAGTATCGAAGACAACTACTAACATCAGCTTGCAACCCATCTAATTGCTAGTTCACCAACAAACCAGCCATCTAGCTAATTAGACATCCATCTAGCTAGATGGCTAGCTAGCCAATCTAGCTAATTAGCTCACTAGCCAACGAGCCAACGAGCGAACTAGCTAACCGTCCAATCCAGCTAGTTAAGTGGCTAACTAGTTGATTCAAAAACTAGCTAGCTAAACCAAGCTGGCCAGCCAATTAGCTAGTTCACTAACGAGCCGACCAGCAAACTCGCATCAGCTGACAAGACAATTCACTAGCTAAACTAGCTAAATAGCAAACAAACAAACTAGGCTGATTGCCCAACCAGCGAACTAGCTAGCTAGCAACCTACCTGACTGCTGGCTAATTTGCTGGCGCAAAGCTAACTAACTAGCTAGCTAACGAGCTAGCCATCTAACTGGCTGACTAGCTAACTCCCGAACTGGCCGACAACCTCAAGTAGTATCAATATACCTGTCTGCTAGATTCAACACATATATGCTGTTGTGCATTCGCCTCCTGCAAACGCCGTCATCCTTTTGCTAACAAACATTGCTCATGGCAACTGGCATGACAATGCGGCGGCAGCGCAAAGGAGCTGTTGCTCAGCTCAGCGCCGTCTCTCATCTAACCATGCAAGGGAAGATGCAACAAGGGCAGAGGAGCATTTAGACGCGTACAACAAAACACACTCTGGCTCTTTCATTCCTCACGATGGCTCGGTTTTCAACACTGGAGGAAGATGAACCACCAGGCAATGTCTTACTGTCAGCAAGCACCTTGCTTCATCTCACCAACCCACTTGTCCTTGAGGCGCTTCCATTTTCTTCTTCGAGCTAGGGCACACGATGGCACTGCTGCCAGCCAGGCCTTAGCACTTGGAACACGCTCGCCTCAAGAGCTGTCCTGCAACCTGTCCTTCATGGAATCATATTACGTGCCAAAACAGACAAAGTGTCACAGCCCCGACTGCACCGGAAAATTATAGGCCTTGAATCCTTCATGAACTTTACCCACCTAAATGCTCATTATTATGATTGTCTGGACATGAGGCAGAATCTCAAGCTGGTGTTTGGCCGTACTGTGGGTTGCTCACAAGGCTTGAGGGCGGCTGGTTTGCCTTTCATGCGCGATGATACCGCGATCCTCGAAATGAGGCACATGAAACAAACGCACCAAGGTTGGCATCGTCAGATTTGCGCAGGCAATGGCAATTTTGCATGCTGACCAAAAGGCAACACCTCACTCACATGTCACACACTCGGCTGCTTCCAAAACATGAGTACGCCATGAAGAGATGCTCTAACTAGGACTGCTCGTGAGCCACATGTGCAAATATACTATTAACCACCCAGATAGCCTGGCCAATCTGTGGTTAAAAGTAGGTTTCTTGACCACAAACCGAAAATTTGGTCGTCGTCAGCACGCAGAGTTGACAGCTGTGAGGTGTGAATTGATTCAGATAACTCTTGCCAGAGTCAAACCTTGTCGTGTTTGCTGTACCCAAAGGCTCGCAAATGAAAAACGATAGTCCTCCTGAAAATAATGATGGGCATGTAATAGAAGTGGCAGCTGAAGAGAGTGGCCCTTCAAAGCTTGAACAGCATCGTGTTTGAGGCACAGTTGAGAATCTGGACATACGAGGAAATTTCAGAAAACAATCTTAGCACTGGCTCCAACCACTCAGGTGTTGCACTCGGCAGGGCCGCATTGTGCACGTCGCCTTCTCACCACTTCTTTGCAGTCTTAAAATTGACACCAACCTTGTGCCAGCATCAATGCCGCCGCCGAGCTGCCAAATTGGGCAGACATTCAATACAACAGACGACCAGTACATTGTGTCATAGGTGAAGATTTCAGGCCTGCTCACAACGCTGTCAGTGGTAAGAACAAGCCTCTCCACTCACTTTCATCTCTGGAGAGAACTATGCTGCTTGTGTTTGTTTATTTCAATTGCAAAAGCTCCTCCACAAGAATAGCTTAGCGCCACAGCATGGTTGGTTGATAGAGGGCCACACTTCAGCCTTCATGACTGGGGTGCGCGCCCACTTGCCGCGGAATATTCCTGGGACACAGCGGCCACTCGCTGCCATACACTTGGCCCAAACCTTCGCCTGATACTCATCACAGCAACAATGAACTGCTACTCCTGGCAAATGTTCAAAAGCCCCTCAAAAGACAGGGTCCTACCGTTCTACTAATATTTTCATTGGAGACGTAGTTTCAAAAAGCAGACAGTGAGCAGGCGTTGTCATTCTACGCACTAAATGCACAACCTGGTGTTTTAGCAAGATTCAAAACCTATTTTCAAACAAGTCTAGGTAAGATGTCAAACTTGCGCACGCATGCACCCGCTTTGAATCATCATGTTGCCCTCATATTCAGAAACACCGTGTATTTCAAACGTCCAAATCCCACAACGTATTTAGAATCCCCCCCAGAGTAATTGGGAAAATTGGATTATCCATCTCGGCCAAGGAGTAGTGAACGAGGCGCTGACGACGCCATGTGAGAAACCTCCTGCCCTCCCACTACAACCTTGGCGGAATGGGGAGAGGGGGTGGACATTTTTATAAGAAGGAGAAACCTACAATCCGGTTGATGGACATTGTGCGGAAACTTGCTTCACTGGCATTTGGGGGGACTATACATGGAACTGTGGACAGCCCAGGCTCGTGTCATAGCGCATCGTGAAGTTCTTGCTAGGCAGCGCAATGCCCCGACTGGTGCAAAGCTCCTGAAGCAGTTTGGAATTCCCCAGCAAGAAGCGCGTTGAACTGATTCGGGCAGAATCTGATGAAACAGGACCTCGCATGATCCATTATTGGAACAAAGGTTTGTTCTTTGCGTTCTTGGACTCTTGACCGCACTTGCCTGGCGCCATCCTCTGGGGCGTGAGGTTTTGACAAAGCATCGATTCAGATCTGACTTGTCCTAACCACATTGGGCGGAAAGCTCCGTTGGCTAAGTCACCAGCCGTTTGTCATCTTTTGGCTCTAGTTGCCCTGGTGCGGCGCCAAGCTGAAACCGCCAAGTAAAATCGTAAATCTGTGAATTGGCGTGGAATAAAAATACAACACACATCTGAAAATATCCTCCCAAAACATGCGCCTGAATCGGAGAATAAGTAATACCACGTGCTTGAGCTTGGTGCATAAGCGGTAAGAACCTTCAGGCCGATTTCTGTCAATGACGGCTGCAGTTCGGCCCACTACTTCCTGGAAGCGCTTGCAAGTCGCCATCAGCAGCCGGCTGCCCCCGTAGTAGCCCTGCACTGTTTGCGTGACCCCTCAAAAGTTTTGCAAGCAGGTTCTCTGAGCAAGGCATGGCTGGATAAGGACAAATTGCTACTATCTCACTCCGCATAGGTTGCGTAGCTGACTTAAACCTGAGCTGGCGTGACGGCAAAGCAAGAAATTACTACAAGAAAGCAGAACAAACATAAGCACTCAACACTCTCTCGCAGTCCATGTAAAAGTATATTGGTCGAGGCAACATGGACAGACCAATTTAAATTTAAAAAGGCGTCGTACGCCTGCCAAGTCTAGAGGAACTAGTGCTGCATAAATCAACACAGCAATGGCAAGCGACTGCCCAACAACAATCCACACAACACGCTGCTTTGCTAAGCGAGTCCAGAACTGGTCAAGTCACGCTCATAGATACATATGCAAAGCAAACACCGAAGGCAACATCAGCCAACTCACTACAGACTGCCAACGCCGCGCATGCCCTCCGTGCGTTGCAAGCGCTCGGAAACAATAGCTCATCTGTTGGATATTGTCTTGCTCCGCATCTGTGCCCTAAGACATGTTGGCTAAGTCACCAGTTATCCTTGTCCCGCCTCACTATTCGGTCAATGCTCTCGTCAGCTTCGGTCAATATTCCATGCACGACAGCTCGCCCTGCTACTCAGTCAAACAAACAGAGTGAAACATGCGAAACAAACAAAACACATGACATCCTGCTGCACAAATCAACACACACACACAATTGGTATGTGACTGCCCAAAAATGCCATCCCAGTCAACACAACACGGTGCTTTGCCAAGCAAGTCGAACACTGGTCGAGCCATGCTCACAGATACACACCAAGGCAACATCAGCCTGGGCCAGCTCACTATACGCCAAGCAGACTGCCAAAGCCGTGCGTGCCCTCCATGCGTTTGTTGCAAGCACTGGGAAACATCAGCTCATCTGCTGGATATTGTCTATCTCCGCATCTGTGCCCTCAGACATGCTGGCTAAGTTTCTTGTCATCCTTGTCCCTCTTCAGTATTGGGTCAATGCTCTCGTCAGTGTTGGCCAACGCTCCATGCACGACCACTCGTCGCTGATGCTGCCAGTCAACAGTCAAACACGCAAATCAAGTCAACACATCACATCCTGCTGCATCAATCAACACAAAAATGTCCAGCAAAGCGAGTCCAACACTGGCCAGGTCAAACACACAACACACAAAGAAGAACAACAAAACAGCAGACCAACAGGAAAAAAAAAAACATGCAGGCTTTAGCAAGCTTTCGTAGTTTTGGTCAAGCGCAGCCTTGCCTCCAATAAGGCTCAGCGTGATCGAATGCTGCCCAGTTGTATGTTGTCTTATCCTCCAATCCCCAATGCCCCAGCGTCGCGGAACCAAGCAAAACCAAGCTGCAGGAGCTTCTTCAGCCTCTGGCTGAAGGCTGTGCTTTGATCACAAGTCGTTGAGCCAGCAATCAACAATGCTAGCCACTCTCTTTGAAGCTCGTCGGGAAGAGCAACGCAAGATAGTATGGGTATAAAGCCATGCGTGTACATGAAAGGCGCAAATCATTTCGCTTCCTTCAGAATGCCTCTTGACCGTGGCAGCGTTATCCTCCGGGGACCAAAGCTATGTCCGCAGTCAGGCATGATTTTGGAATGAAGGCATTCGCAAGATTTCCTGTAGCAGGCCAGACAGGGTGATTGAAGGGATCTGCCTATTTTTTGCCGCAGCTTCCGAAATGCTCACAAAAGGCTCTGTCTCTAGCAAGGGCTAAATGTCATAAGACAATAGTGGCCCACTCTTCTTGAAATTGGCATGCCAAAGGTCATTCACGTCATTTTGGTACAGCAACAAGTTCAAACAGGAAATTCCAAGCAATGTACAGGTCATGCAAAGCCGCATAGCGTTGCCTGGGTGTATGCAGATGACCGGCAGTTGCACAGCCAAATTTGGCCATGCGGCTCATCTCACCCCCCTCCCGCTGCCTCCCGGCGTCCAATGAAGTGCAAGTCTGCGAGGCCACTGAAAGTGGAGGGGTCGAACAATGGATGTGGCAGCAGCCTGCGCCGGATACAAATCTACCGGTGCTTGATTCATTCATGTCTAGCTTGGATTGACGCTGTGCTTTCCATAGTCTGTCTCCACGGCCAACGGATTTCACGTCAATCCAATTTGCGGCGCAAGGTCTTGGATGGACCAATCCTGAAACAAGGCACTTTACGAAACAAACACTCGTTCAGCATATAAGCCGTTGTTGTTCCTCGGTTGTCTGAAGTGACACCCCCTGCAACTAGAAATCATAGTCGGCTGGTCGGACAACACCAGTCTAGCCTTCATCCTGAGCTATATGCCATTGGACTTGCTTCCAAACAATGGTTTAAACAGGACAAAAAACATCCGAAACTAAAGGCAAAACTCTGTTGATCCCACATGCAACCATGCACTGCAGGTTGCCCCAGGACCCATATTATGGGCGGGCAACACACGGCAACCCGCGGCTCATGCCAGTGAAACACAGTGACGTGGCTGTGCTGATGTGCTCACCAAACACAAACAGATCATGAAGAAATTGCGTTGCCAACGTGTGGGATCTTGCTGGCGGGAGACATGTGAGTCATGGTCGAAACTGCTCATGTGGCCTATCATCATGGTTCCCTTCATACGAATCATTATTAGTTATAATGGTTGTGAAGGATCCTTACTACCAGGTGCTGACCAGGTGGATGACCATCCCTGTTGAAGTCCAAGTAAAGGGTTTTCACCAGTGCACATGTGGGCAAAAATGTGTCCATAGGCATGGGTGATGTTTGCAGCATGACAGCAGCATGAAATAGGAACCTTGCAAAACAAACACCTTGCCACACATTGCATGATGTGATGCGTCTGTTGCAAGTATAGAAACAAGGTGAACATGCTAACAGGAGACACCAGGTGCATCATGATACTTGGCTTGGCATGTCCCAACCTCGTTGGCAATTTTGAGCCCGTAGTTAAAAGAGCTGTCTTAAAAACAAACCAATGGGGTTGCGTACCAGTGACCCCTCTAAGCCTTTGGGCCCGGCTTTCAAGGCGACCAAGAATGACCAGGAATTTGGAGTCAGTCTTGACGCTTGGCATCGCCTGGAAAAACAACGACGTGGTTTTGTATCCAAAAAGTACCTGCACCAGCCTGAGCTGCTGGGACTCCCAAAGCTCCACAGATGCCCAGAAGTTGCGGATGGTCACGGACAAGGTCTGGCGAGCGCCATCCGTCTAGGAAGCTTTCAAGTTGTTTCGCGCCAAAGATCCAGGTGTGTTTCACTAGGTCATTGGCATGTTGGTAGATGTTGGAGTAGGACATTGGAACTGACAACAAATGTCGCCCTTGCTGAACAAGTTCAAGCGCGGCTTGTCTTCTCAATCAGGCAGTGACGACCTTAGCCTGCAGGCATTCGTGCTAAATCTTGAAGCCATTTTTTGAAACCACCTTCAGGCACCTGGCACAGGCTGGGGCTCCCTTTCCTGCAGGCATGTGGAAATCGGGTGCTGAAGCTCTCTTTCTTTTCAAGGGGTTGTTAGATTTTATGTTGGAATCTGCGTTTGCGATGCTTCTACACCACGCCCCCACCCAGTATCCCGCCAGAGCAGCTCGCCAACGCCGAGTATCCCGCCAGAGCAGCTCGCCAGTGGATCGCGCCGTTTCCCGCTCGCCAGTAGATCCCGCCCAATATCCCGCCAGAGCGGCTCGCCAGTGGATCCCGCCGAGTATCCCGCCAGAGCGGCTCGCCAGTGGATCCCGCCAAGTATCCCGCTGAGTATCCCAGAGTAGCTCGCCAGTGGATCCCGTATCCCGCCAGAGTAGCTCGCCAGTGGATCCCGCCGAGTATCCCACCAGAGCAGCCCGTGGATTCCGCCAAGTATCCCGCTGAGCATCCCTTGCCGGTGGATCCTGCCGAGTATCCGGCCAGTAGGCTAGCCGCTATTCGCCAGTGGATCCCGCCAGTATCCCGCCAGAGCAGCTCGCCATTCTGGTTTTGCTTAATGTCCCGCTCGGCGCACAGCTGGGTTTACGTTTCATGTTGGTGCCTTTGTGTTTTGAGTGCACTTGCACCCTGAGGCTCGGAAAGGGTGATGCTTTTTGTGTCGCTTTGCGGTGCGAGTAAGCAACTTTGTTTAATCCCCCGCCGGGTTTCTTTTTGGAAACGGCTTGGCTTTTGTTAGCGGGACCGATGTTTGAGTTCTCGAGATCGGCCCGCAGAAAAGTGGAGTTTAACACACAGACAGGTGGATAAGGCTCTCAACGCAAAGCTTGTTGAGCAGTCATACGCCCCAAGCCACTCGAAAACCATGATTGAATTCACACAACCGTGTTCACGGTCGTAAGCTCGTGAGTGTGGAGGGTGGGGATTGCTCGAAGCGAAGTAATTTTGTTCTTTCTTTCTTTCTTTCTTTCTTTCTTTCTTTCTTTCTTTCTTTCTTTCTTTCTTTCTTTCTTTCTTTCTTTCTTTCTTTCCCTCTCTCTCTCTCTCGCTGTTCTTTGGTATGGAGTCATCAACAGCAACTCCAAAGCAGCAGCTCTGTATCTCGGATGGACTTATTGATCGAACCAATTCTCGTGTGAGGTCGGCACTCTTCGCAAGACAGGAATGCCCTTGCCCCAACCCTACAGCACAATTTGGAATCAGCAAATCACACCGCGTTCCCGCTCATCCAAACTTGCGTCCCCCAATGCAACAGACCGTACAAGGACCAGCCGAGCGAAGACTTGCCCTCTACACTTCTGCGCGCCTTCCCGTTGAAGCCATCGCTGGGGTTGCCCATGAGTCCAACACGTGCGTACCTGCTTATGCTATAGGGATATCATGCGCGTCCCCCCCTAACATCAAACCCCTCTTTCAACTAGTAGCTAGCAGCACAAGTATGACATCTCAAGATGCCCATCATCAACAAACACAACGTATGCCTTTTCCCGCAACACGTGCATCTCAAACCCCTCCAGTAACCTCTCTGCGCTGGTTTCCTGGAGGGCTTCTCTTCTTTTAGTTCGAAAGCCAGATCTTGGGGTTGCTGTCGCCTGCTTGCAACCCCGGCAACCAAGTTGCTGCGGTTTCAAACCAGAGAGCACCAAGGAGCAGCAAAGGCCGAAGCGGGTTGGCTCCTCGCCCCATAGTTCATGGGGGGAGCTACTGTGTTCCAAAATCAGCTGCAAAATCGGAAGGATGCTGCTTGCGGCACCTCTTATGGCAACCAATGTGAAAGGACTCAAGTTCATGTTTAATGTATATGTTCACTTGGCCATTGCTGCAAATTGTTGACCCGTTTATTCATGGCTCATGCTGAGGTGTAGATCATCAGTTCCGCTTGGCTGCTTGCCCAGTCGCAGCACGTATGCCAGTGGGGCACGTCTTGGTTCGGATGCGGCCTGGAGCCAAGCCGTCCTCGCATCGCGGCATCGCGCGGAACGCCCTTCACTGGTCTCTGGTGCCCTTCCTTGCAGGCAACTCTCCATGGATCAATGCATCAAACATCTGGGTGCGATAAGACCACTGGAGTGGCTATTGAGACCCTCGGCCCTCAGACATGAGGCCTCCACGCTGAGTTGGCCAAAACTGTGCCAAGTCATGGGCGCTTAGGCTCCAAAATCATACAAGTCATGTGGCGTTCAAGAACTTGATCAGCAGCCCGGGCTGATCGACATGAAGACACAGCCTCCGAAAACACCTGCACAGAAACCCCAGCTGGCCTACGCAATACTGCTGCTACTTAGAAGAACTGGGCTATGTTTGAAAATGTTCACGGATATCCTCGCAAATCAAACATGCAAGGCACCGAAGCAGACATAGCAACCCACTGACTGAGGAGGAGGATGCCAGTCAACAGTAGATCGGGAACAAGGTCTCAGAACAGGACGAACTCGAAACTTCGATACATGCATATATGTTGGCATAGTGGAAACAGGCAAACACAGTCACGCTACTCCGACAATCGGCGATGCAACTGCCCTCCAAGACAAAACCATGTTCATAATAGCATATAGATGGAGAAGGTAGTGCCCCAATGTCACTAGCCTCCAACGATTTTTTTCTTTGCACAAAACCGGTGCGACAATTTGATATGTTGCATGAATTCTCTTCCAGACGATCCGACGGTCCAAGGTCAAATTAGGCTACAGCGAGGGCAAAACCAGGTAATCGATGCTCATGCCGCAGCTCTCCCTGACAAAAGGCCCTGGAAGTAACATGATACAAATGGCCCAGCTGCAAAATTGACCGACCCAGGTCCCCGGCTTGGCCACGGCTCATTGAGGAAAATGTTCGATCCAGCTGCCCTCGGCTTGACGAATCGCCCTCTGAGAATTTCGCGAAAGGATTGTTGCATGTCCCCGAGCTAGGCTGGGAAAGATGAAAACGACTTGGTGGAGCTCAAGATAGGATCCAGTCCAGATGCTCCCATCGAAATGGCCTCCCAAATGCAATCTCTTTCCCACTTGAGATCCTTCACAGGCTCGGGAGGACTGGCCAAATATCTACCAAGGAGCGATACTCCTCGAGGCCGGTGGAAGCACCAATCAAGTGAAAGGCTCCAGGCATGCGCATGCCTCAGTTCCAGTTGACCATCCACAGACATCATTCAACTTGGACTCCGACCTTGGACGTTTGTGGACAACCTTCTTTGAAAGCTGCTTCCTGCCCACGTCGAGGATGTTCAAGGGAGGGTAAGCTACTCCAAGGCAAATGGGCACGGACTCAAAAAAGCACCCATAGGACGAGCGGCCGCAACCCATGGCAGTTTTTATGGACCGGGCAAAGGAACATGAAAACAAAGCGAAGGCGAAGGAAAACCAATACTTATACATAAGATGTATAGATACAAAATAGAATATATGTAGTATGAATATATGTATAATACGCATATATCATGTGTATGATTGTGTGTGTATGGGTCTGCACAGTGTGTCAAGTGCCCAGATCTCCACTGCAATGGATGCAATCAGATCGGCATGAGGAACTTGCCGCAACTTTTCAAACAAAAACACATTGTCACATAGCCAAAATAATGATTCAAATATGTGTGCGTGTATATATATATATGTATCCGCCGACATTGCCCGGCGTGTCGGACGCCTAAGAGAGGATAGAGGATAACCCCCCCCGCCCGACGTCTGATACGGGGCCCCCCAAAAATAGTCAAAACGGCACTTCTAACATCAAACCCAAATAATCAAACAGCATAAACACAAATCAGCAAAATTCACAGAAAACAAGATAAGAACCACCAAGCAACTCAAAAACCAGAACAACCCCCAACAAAATATTTAATCAAAGCATACAACATTAAATAATTCAAACAAGCATACCAACAAAACAGCAAAACTAAAACCATCAAAGAACACAAACTCAAAAACACACACTAACAAATTTCAAAGCAGTATAGCAACAACAACATATCAGAAGAGTATCAAACAAAATAAATACACAACAGTCAAACAACGCACTTTGAAAGAGATAAGCAAATTAAGCAAAATTAAAATATTTCAATCTTTACAAACCATAAGTATAGTATAATTATAACATATAAGGTTTTACATGTTATTATTATAGCATGATTATAATTTCAGTTCAGGATAATAATTTAATTGATTCGTCTTACTTCTTTCATACATCATTTTAAAAATAACATTAATATCTCTAACTGAGTTTTGAACATGAAACTTTTTACTTTCAATAAACAATTTGATATTTTCTTTAACATCTTCTCCTTCCTTTTGACGATAAACCAACATCCATAATATGCGGTCTATCATTTCATACTTTTTCTCACTGATTTTCAGAAATGCTCTAACATAACTATAAGGTTGTATTTCATGCACAGTTAGAAATATTAAGATGTCATCTTCTACATTTCTTTCATTAAACATTTTAATATCTAAATGATGTTCAATTATTTGTTGATGAAACCTCCATTTTCTGAAAAATTTTTACATAAATCTTCTTTACCCAAAGAAGAATAAATCATACTATTTATTACTCCATTAGGTAGATTTAATTTGTATAATTCAATATTTTCCTTTTTGAAGTGACAACAACCAAAGCATTTCTTATTGATATAATTATTGGTTTCATCACCATTCATTTTTCTCTTATTATATTAAGGCACTATTTCTTTAAGTCATTTTTAAGGCAATAAGAAAATTAAGAAACAAACCATAAGTGTAGTATAATTATAACATATAAGATTTTACATGTTAAAATTATATTTCAATTAAGAATTAAGGATGAAAATAATAGTCAGGCAATATGTCTTCAAATATGTAATCTACATATTTATCAATATCACAAATGTCTATGTATTTAATACTGTCTTTTCCAATTATAGCATATATGTATTCCCAAAGAATAAATTAACTAATAGAACTATTCTAAACTTAGTATTGTAATAATACCATATACAATGTTTAGTTGCTCCAAACTCATTTAATACTTTTTTTACTTTAGCTTTGCTCTTCAAACATATCACGTTTTTTTTTAACAAATGCTTTATAAGGTTTAATGTGTAGTTCTCCTCCAAACCTTTTAATCAAATCTTTATTATTAAAGAACTCATCAATTTCTTTTTCAAATGACTTTCTTGCAAGTTTTATGGTAAAAACATACAGGAAATCGTTTTTGATATGTCATAAAGAATTTGAATCGTAGTTGTATATCCATTACCCTTATGTTTTACAACAAAAACCTGCTCAAGGTCTCTTGTTATACAGCATTGATTGCAATATACATTATATTCACTTATTTTATTACACAGATTAGCAGGTAATAAGTTATACAATGTTAGATTAGTTTCATTCTTTTTATTATTGCAACATTCACACTTACTATAATTAAACAGTGTCATTTTCCTCTTAATATATCAAGGCTTTATTTCTTTAAGTAGATTCTAAGTAGAACTTCAAGTTGACAAAAATATTTATGGCATTAATTCTTTAAGTGTATATTTTCTAAAAAGTCACATAAAGAAATACACATTAATTTTTTTATAGTATAGTATTATGAAACATGTTATAGATTATCTGTTGAATAATGATAAAGCGGAAACTCCAAGAAGAGGAAACAAGGAATTAAAACCAACAATTATAGATGGTAGAAAATTTAGATACACCAAAGAAACACCTATCTCGAATGTATTGAACAAGAAATTAAAATCAGTAGCAAACACCAATGAATATAATAGTCATACCTTAAACAAAGAATGAAAAATGCCATGACAAAATACGCTATTAAAAACAAATTCAGAATAACAGACCAACAATCAGCATTCAAAAGTTATGCTAATTCTATCATACTAGTAAATAAACATTTTCAAGGCGAAAAGACATTCTCAATGATACACTACCAAAAAGATAGACTTTTGAACTTCTTGAAAACTGATAGAGCTATGAAATTGAATATAAGGGCAAAAGTTTATTTATCATGATTATGATGATGATAAAGGAGTAATAAGACATGCAGAGATAGTTTATAATTTACCAGCTCGATTTAGATGAAGCAATTGAAAAATCAATCAAAGAGATTTTATTGAACATAGAAAAACTAGAAGGTTCAGCATCAAATTTAAAATTTATAAAATATTGTCAATAACCGTTCATTATGATAAAAATGACCCTACTAGCGCTGGTAGTTCTATAGATTTACCAGAATGTATTAAACTAAAAAAGGCATGTATTAATATCAAAAACAAAGATAACAAATGTTTTAAATATAGTGTTCAAAGCGTAGTGTATGATATAATTAATAAACTAAATTCTCAAGAAATGTTTCGTTACAACAAATTAAACGATGACATTTTGAACTGGGAAGGTGTTAAATTTCCAACTGGTAATGAAGATATTGAAAGGTTTGAAGAAAATAATAGTAAGTTAGTTTCGGTCAATGTTTATGAAACTGATGATACTTTGAATGACAAAAAATGGTTACAGGACTAAAACAAGAGATGCTAAACATCAAATAAACCTTTTGAAAATTGAAACAGAAAAAAACATCACTATGTTGTTATTAAAAATCTAAGTCGTCTAATGAACTGGCAAACAAACAAAACTGACCAACCAAAACATTATTGTCATTATTGTACTCATGCTTTTACTAGAAAGGATTTATTAAAAAAAACATTATGAAACTAGTTGTATGGCAACACACGGACAACAGTTTAAATTGCCAAAAGAAGGTAGTTATATTGAATTTGAAAAATACAATACTAACTTAAAATGTCCATTTGTTGTTTCTGGAGATTTTGAGTGTATAACTGTAGATCCAAATAATGGCATCAAGGGCACGTATCAGGAACATAAACCATGCGGTTATATGTTGAATGTTTGTTGGTAATACAAGCCAACCTTATTTATACCGTGGAGAGGATTGTTTGGACCACTTTGTAAATAAATTGACAGAAATTAAACGATATTTTTGATAAAATGAATGTTAATAAACCAATGGATATTACAGATGAACAAGAAGCAGAATTTAGAAAAGCTACTGCATGTTCAATATGTAATAAGAATTTTAAACCAGATGATGTCAAGGGTCGCGACCACTGTCAGTTTACTGGTATGTATAGAGGTTGTGCTCACGAAAAATGCAATTTGGATTATTCATTTAAAAATTTCAAGATACCAATATTTTTTCGTAATTTCAAAAACTATGACTCTCACTTAATCAAAGGAAGTTTAGAAGGAACTTCCGTGGTACGGCAACTAATTGAAAGCTAGCTCTCTCAGATAAATGACAAGAGAAGGAATAAGCCCACGAGGAAAAAGTGCGCGCGCGTATGGCAGGGGAAGAGAAAGCCGCAAAAAGCGTGGCCCTGTGCGTGAATCGGCGTTTTCGGAGATGAGAAAGTCGCAAAAAGCGTGGCCCTGTGCGCGAATCGGCGTCTCCGGAGATGCGAAAGCTAGCCTGTCCGCGGCGTCTGGTCGGAGCGGTCTCGGCGCCGGGCCCATTGGCACGGCAACGCAGAGGTTTCGCAGGGTTTGAATTGCGTGGCAGGCACAGCATTTTGGCAAGGTCGGGTGCAGATTTCGTGGCAGGCGCAGCATTTTCGCAAGGTCAACTTTTCTCAAGGATTGAATTGCGTGGCAAGCGCAGCACTTTCGAAAGGTCAGGTGCATGTTTCGTGGCAGGCGCAGCACTTTCGCAAGGTCAAGTACAGATTTCGTGGCAGGCGCAGCACTTTGGCAAGGTCAAGTGCAGATTTCGTGGCAGGGGCAGCACTTTCGCAAGGTCGAGTGCAGATTTCGGGGCAGGTGCAGCTCTTTGGCAAGGTCAGGATAGATTTCGTGGCAGGTGCAGCACTTTCGCAAGCAGCACTAAAAGAAAAGAGAAATAGATAGATAGATAGATAGGTAGATAGACAGATAGATAGATATAGACAGATAGATAGATAAAGGGTTGATAAATAGATACATAGATAGATAGACAGATAGATAGAGAGATAGATAGATAGAAAGATAGAGAGAGAGATAGATAGATAGATAGACAGATCGATAAATGGATAGATAAATAGATGGATGATAGGTAGATAGATAGATAGATCGATCGATCGATAGGT